GCCGGCTTAAATTGAACTATAACAGCATCGATCTCACGGAGGTAGAGATACTTGACGACGGACGCGAGCCGAGGTATATAACACAATGAAATTTTCGTTATTTAGTATTATAGTTTCTCTCCTCCATAAATAGATAAATACAAAATATTGAATTAATTACTTAAAAAAGTGAAACATATATTTTATATTTTAATCGTTACTTTTCTTTTATTATTATCTTTTATTTGAAGTGTGTTCATTAATTAAAAATGGACACAGGAATCCAGGTCCCGAAATATTGAAGCTGAGGTCAGCGCTGGTGGATCACAAGCGAGGTAACATGACGGGGATTTCCGTGAAATTACATTATGATGACAATCGTCGGGTCAACCTTGAGAAACGTGACTATTTTTATGCGCCCCTACCTGGCACTCCATTTGGTCTTGCGGTTGTTTTACCCAATTATGGGACTACCTGGATTAAGGTAGAAACAGCACCAGAACAATTTTACTATCTTTTTTACACAATCGCATTTAAAATAATTCTATGCACAATTAATTATACTAATTAATAAATGATTACATACAGCATAAATTGTATCAAGTAGAAATTATACACGCAATTGTGCTCATATGATATTGAATATATGCTCAAATAATTGTATGTCTAATTTTTCAAGGTCGGCGATGAGATTCGCAGAAACCAGAATATGAATGTGAATGTGTCGGATTATTTTGTGGGTGATCATTGGCGTATACATCCCAGCTGGGTATATTGTCGTTATCATTATTTAGAAGGTCATGAGTTCAACAGTCCAGAAAATGAGTTGCGTCATTTCTTGGCGCTGATGAGCCGGCCTGGTTGGCACTGGTCTGAGCAATATGAGGCTTATTCATCTATAGATGAAGATGTTAATGAAGAACCCAACTGTGGCAGACAAACGCTCAAGCACGATGACTACTATTGCAACAAAGAACTTATGCAATTGCTTGTATTTGATGCCAAAGCGACGAACAATAGCTTCCGCGGTGACTATATGGAGAATTTGCCTCCAAGAGCTCGGGATCTCGCACATCACTACGGTATCTTTATAAGATTTATCGCGACGCAAAGCGGGCTCACCAGGTGGCATCATCTTAAAGCCAGCAAACTGCCGAATATGGACGATAGTGTTGTTTTCGGTGATCTTCATAGACGAGCAGTGAATGAGCCTTGGTACAAAGGCGCGATTTTTCAGAGCGAATTAGATTCCGAGAGTATTTCTTTATCTGGTAAGAGTCATATTCATTGTGGATAGGATATAGAATTTTTTTATAATGTGTGTGTGTGTGTGTGTGTGTGTGTGTGTGTGTGTATTTTTTTTTTAATCAATCGTGAAATCATGCCTATATGAGCCGACACAAGATTTTTTTAGTGTGTATATTCTTTATTAAATTTAGATCCAATCAATAAACGTTTCGATCCATCTTTCTGATCTTCTTCGATCTAACTTAACGCATACAGAATTCTCCCGTATATTGTCTGTCCGCAATAAGTTGATATATCTTAATGGTAAAAACGTTGTAAACTATAATACGAAAATGTAAAACTTCATCTCCTCTCTCTGATCACATTATACTTGCCACGTTTTTACCATTAAGAGAGATCAACTTATTGCGGATAGACAATATATAAGAGAATTTTGTATGCATTAAGTTGAGTAGGATCCGAAAGATAGATCGAAACATTTGTTGATTGGATCTAAATTTAATAAAGAATATACACACTAAAAAACCTTATGTCGACTCATATAGGCATGATTTCACGATTGATTTAATTCAGCTGTGTCTGAAATAATTGATAAATATTTTTTTTAAATGATATTTTTTAATCATTCTCTAATTTATTTAAAATCAACATTTATATAATTATTTATTATATATGATTTATATATGATTTATATTTGAAATGAGTAGTAGTATAATATATGAGACAAAGTATCATTGTAGTTCCATGGGAAGCAGGCGCGGATGCGATAGTGACTGCTTCGATGAGCCTGTCGCCCAAAGATGGCGGCAAGAAAGCGCCAGCGGCTGGAGTGGGGTTTCAGATGCCGATGAAAGATCTGTACAAGCGGTTCATTGCTTTGACCTCAGACAATCAGACGAATACGATAATAAATTGTGCCCACAATTGGATTGACTGCTACCTGCTAGACCAAAACGGCTACGTAGTGATCTCAGACGCACATAATGACACCGGACAATTTATGGGCACTCAGGAGGGTGCCGTTATGCTATCCATGGTCAAACAGGGTCTTTACAATCCGGTCGACATCTATGATTATCAAGCATGGTGTCAGGAGACCGTAAGTAATATATATGTCAAAGAATAATATGATAATCGACAAAAATAAAAAATATTAATATATTAAAAAATCATTTAAATATATTTCACAGAGTTGAGTTTTTAATAATTATAAAAATTAGAAAAAGAATTTTGCATTTGGTGAGAGAATAAAAAATAGCGTGAAGAATAAATTGTTCCCGAAGCTTTTCTATTATTATTCTTTTTTATCTAAAAAAGAAAGAGGATGTTTTTTTACGGAGACGCAAATTGTTCCAGCGAATCGATAACTCTGCCAACAGCTTAATGGAACCGTTGCAACATGTTGTGCGATTGTTGCTCTGGTTTCTGCTGCGGTTGATATGGTACGCGACCCAGTTTGTAAACTTGCCCGGCATTCATGGCAAAGTCCACTCCGATGAGGATGCACCAGATCCGCCGCCACCACCAAAACCCTATCTTTATCACTATCCCTGTGATCAAAAGCGAACACTCTATATGTTGAACGAGACCGTTGCTGCTAAAGGCGTCACCAATCACTCCGATTACTGCTCGCGGCCTTTTTACGCTCAAAGAGTAAATATTTTTTATTTTACTTAGAGATGGAAAAGATAAGATTTTATACGATTTGTATACATACTAAGCAAATATTACAAACATATTTTTATCTATTAAAAACTTATTTTGTGTCTTGTTTGCAATTACTAACATTTTACTTTAATTCTGATAAGTGCGGCTCTAAGCAGTTTTTAATGAATATAGAGACTTAGCACGTGTAAAGCTGTGATTATTATACAAATGTCATACTTTTTAAGACAATCTTAAAACAATCATAACGTTAATGAAAGTATTTACAAAGAAATATGCGTGAATAATTAAAAACAATTACTTGTGCGCATCATTGTACTTTCAATAATTTCACAATTTGATAGTATAATTGTACAATTTACAATGCATCAGAATAATGTATTTAAAATGAGATTGATTGGATCAGCATGATAATCATTGACAAACATTGATGAAAAAATGAAGTAATGAATGCATCGAAATTTTTAATATTAGAATCAAATTAAAATAGATTTATGAGAAATTATTTCTTGATTTATTGATGATATTTTTTATGTGCTCTTTAGATAATTGATGATATGCTCTTTTGTAGTTTCCTATGTTCTTTATTTTTCAGTTTATGAAATGATGAGACATCATTAACATATTTATGCCGTTAAATTAATTTATGACAATTTTATATAAAAAATATTATATTGCATAAATTATATGCGTGTAATGTAATACAGCACAATCGAATAGTTTAAAAAAAATAATTGTCTGTAATAATTCACAGGTCGCACATACTAATCTATTGCTAGTTGTGGTGGACAGCATGTACCCAACGTGCTACAAAAGATTGGAAGTAACACCTGTCAACATCTTACCCCTCGAGTACACAAATAGTACGGGCGACAAACCCTGTCATAAGATTCCATTGAACACTCTAAAAAAGCGCAGGTTGAAGAATTGCTTCACAGAACATCCTCTGGAGCATGTGACTTACGGCTGCGGAACATCTGAACTGATGGTTTCTTTGTCATTGTTATATATCATTGTTGCTAGGATTCTGTATATCTTCGTATGATGGTAAATTAGCCGTCCTTGGTATATGGTAACTGTATTGTTTCACAGTAAATAATAAGATAATAAAAAATGAATAAAATAACACAAGAAGTATAAATATTTCTCCCCCAAATCATAACTTTATAAATTATTTAATAAAAAATAGCTATATATCTAATTCTTTAGTGTAAATATTAAATAGCTATGTATCCAATTCTTTAATGTACAATATTAAATAGTGTTCTTTTAAAATAGGTAGATATTAATATCTATTTTGAATACATCTTAGCGAGAATTAGTAGTATATATCTCTTAATTTATAACACTTAAGCCGGTATTCATAGTCCGTTTTTATTACAAGATTGCTTGAGTAATATCTTAATTTGGATCTGTGATTGATTTATGACATCTTAAAACTATTCTAGACGATTTTAAATACAGGGTGGGCCATCTAACGTTTTCAATTTCAACTACCGATTACTTTGATTTTGGCAACACTTACATCATCCGTGTTATGAGAGAAAGTTAGTTTTATGTTTGACATTTACAAAATGAGTCGCTTTTCGCTTGAACAAAAGTGGGAAATATTGAAAACATATTTCCAAAATAGTGAGTCTTCTACTGAAACTGTAAGAAAATTACAAAAAATTTTTGGTAAACAAAACGTGCCTTCAAGTCAGTATGTGAATCAATTTGTGAAGCGAGTTCGTGAAACTGGATCGTTGTTGAAGAACTAACTGAAACTATGAATACCGGCTTTACTATTTAAATAAGAAATAAATAATATTTTAAAGCTAAATTTTCTTCTCTATTATTTTCACAGATCTTTTATTCAAGAAGATACTCTATTGTGGCTTATGTTATATCCGAAGTAAGAAAGAAAGGCGAAGGATAATTTTTATGCGTTATGATACAGTACTTAGAAAAAATACGACATACATATACGAAATAGTATACATCGACGATGCACCAAATTTGATGAACGATTTTAATTAACGAACATAACGTTCAAAATAGTAACAAATTTAGCAATAGTAAGTTTCATTTCTTAATTGTAGCACTTAGTATCGGTAGCCCAAAAAGTCGCAAATCGCAAATTTCGAATTTCAGTCGCAAATCAGTCTTTAAAGCCCAATTTGCAATAAATCGCCCATACTGGCAATACTGTACTCGACAGTTATCGTAGGCACGCGTGTTTTCCATGCGCAAGCCTGGTCGGAAAATCGATAAACCTGAAAAGCGTTTATAGACCCCGCGTGAGTCGCCACCAAGTTAGTGAGTGTGCATACGACGACGGCGACGATCGACGTCGAGCAGAACGATCGTAGTCATTCTTGATATGAAACGAGAGCCTTAATTTTATTTATCGTGTTTCTCGCGCACGAACAATCCCTCCTAAAGCGGACCAAGGCAGCCAGCAGGTGATCAGGGAAAGTTATGAGGTCCTGCTTTATATCTGTCATCGTCGTTCTGATCCTGACTGAGGTACCCGATCGTAGCGACAGCATTTCCCATAATATGTAAGTACCTCGTGGCCTGGCAATCATCTGTCTACCTCTGTTTCTGTAATCTCTTGTAATACAGTATTTTTTAGTTCTATGACAATAACACAAGCTCGATTGATCCGTATTCATATACAGTAACGAAGCGATAAATAATATTTAGGTCAACCGTGAAGGACTGTGTCTCTTGGAATCGTTGTAATGACGGCATGTTCCACAAAAGATGTACTTTCGGAAATAAAAAAAATTTTGTGAAAATTGCTCAATTGTTTAGTAAATATTTGTTTCGCGAAAATTATTATTACAATCGCATTATTATTGAGAATTAAATATGAACTGGATTCTTATGTACTTCCAAATTTATATGCACGCGTTATCTTTTTTCAAAAAGTTAGAATGATAACTTTTTTTTCATTTACTCATGGACAAGAGATTATGATTCATCACTTCATTTAGAGGAACCGATTTCTTTTATGAATGAGATAACTGTCGTTTTGTTAGACTGCTATTGCAACCAATAAAATTACCATTCACATAATCTGGAGACACTGGTAGTGTCTCCGCGCTAAGCTATGGCGCGAGACATACGTGACACGAACGTGACTCCTTTACGCGAACCGGAAAGTTGCGTCAAATCGAGGTTATCGGAAAGTTTTGTTGACCCTAAACTGCTTTTATTCCATTTTATTAACTCCGCGATATGAAAAAACACTACAATTAAAAATAATGTGTGATAATACTGATCTTTTATAAATAAAATAGTAATAAAATAAATCACATCGAGCGATAGGGAATGCGATAATATATTTTTGTAATTTGACCGAATACATGGACTAACTATTTACATTGAAAATAATCTGATCGAGGTTGAAACGTCTGTAATAATATTAAACATTCTTTATATTGTATCTGTTTTTAATATTAAACATGCTTTATATTATATCTGGCTCGTAGCCCTTTTTTTAATTATTGATTTATTCTGATTGAGCCATTTTAATAATTTATTTTTAATAAAATAAATGTTTTTATCCAAATTTCTCTACGAAAATTATTATTATTTTATGATGATTATTTTACTCTTTCAATTGACAGAGTGAAAGGATGGGCGCACAAACTGGGCTTCGAGTTGTCACAACTGGGCAAACTCGTGACCAAGGTGGAGAAGTTCAAAGAGAACTACAAGACGGCGGACATTACACCACGTGACGGAAACGCTCTCGTCCACGAGATTGCTAAAGACATCAAGACTATGATGGAGTTCAAGATCTCGGCTATCAGAGTGCGATTCTTTTATTTCATCTCATTTACGCTGAAATTCTTAATTGGATAAACTTCTTTATTGTTATTCAATTTATTGTTTTATTTAAAGCGTAATTGCAAATTATTGTCATTTGTGTGTATTAGGCAACTTTGTTTTTGCTTTCAGAGGATAATGGATGTGGCTGAAATGTCGGCGTTGTCATCACCCGACGTGGACCCGCCAAAATCCTTCGAGTTTATCGACGCGAAGAATAATAGTATTAATCTTGAGTATAGTCCTCACTTCGGTGGTGACGTGAACCTCAATATGTCAGCGGTGCACGTACCCACGAATGTGTATGAACGCGCTTCGAATGTCATCCGAGCGATTAAGTGGTCCGAGGAACTCGATCGTACTTTCATCAATAATTATGAGCATGATCCATCATTGTCCTGGCAATACTTCGGCAGCGCGACTGGTTTCATGCGGCAATACCCTGCCACGAATTGGTACATGGAGTCAGTGGATCTATTCGACTGCAGGACAAGGAGCTGGTACATTGAAGCGGCCACCAGTCCAAAGGATGTTCTTATTCTGATGGACACGTCCGGTAGCATGACTGGTATACGACGGGAGATCGCTAAGCACGTTATAAATAACATACTTGATACCCTTGGTAACAATGACTTCGTCAATATCATTACATTCTCTAACGAAACTAAAGAGGTAAGAATCAATCAAGGTAAGAAAGAATTAAATTTATCAATCTAAAACAGTGCTCGAAATTAGTTGCCTATTTGATATTTCGGACCGATTCCTGAGACAACCTCCACTACCACTCGAGACTCGGCGGCCGAGCCGCCGTTCGCTCACGTGACGCTGTGCCCCAGGAGCGTCGCGATACAAAAAGTATGCTGTGGGAGTATATCTTCCGGCAAATATCATTAAAATTTCTTTTCTACATGATTTTCATTTCAATAAATAATTAAAATAAATCTTTTATTATTAACATATTATATTCTGCAATAATATATAATTAAAAATTACAATATGATAATTATAATGTGGACACAATGGGGCTTTCCATATTATCTTGAAAGTACTATTATTGATACGTTTTTCAAATAGTTTCTTCAGTAGTTTTGTTTAACTAAAAAATAAAAAAAGAATGATTAAATATATGTGACTCGGTAAAATAAAATTTTACGTCATAAAATATTTTACTTCATAAAATTTGACTTTACCGAGTCATGTATTTGATCATTTTTTTGTTATTTTTTAGCGGAATAAACCTATTGGAGATTATATAAATACGAATGAAAAACCAGAAGAAAGAAAAATAAGTAATTTTCATAACAGTATGAATTTAATTTTCTGAGTCATTAATATAATTTTACTAAATATTATATACCCACAAAGATTTTAAAAGAACTAATTCACATCGGCGAAAATAGCGATGTATCGTCCAAGAAGAATATTTTTCTATTTTCGTGAATTTCGGAGAGATAGAAATATAATAAATAAATAATTTTACTTCTTCTAAAATCTCTGTGGATATATCATCCCTAGTAGAATCGTGCTAACGACCCAGAAGGTCAAATTAACATTTTCAAGAAGAAATATAATAAATAAATAATTTTACTTCTTCTAAATTCTCTACTTCTTCTAAAATCTCTGTGGATATACCATCCCTAGTGGAATCGTGCAAACGACCCAGAAGGTCAAATTAATATTTTCAAGAAAATTAGTTTCTTCTGTTTCATTCTCATACATTTCTATAAATATTTTATATTAGAGGATGTTGTTTTCCTATCGAGCCACATTTGATCAGCTTCTTCATTATTTTTTAGTGGATTAGGCCTACTGAGGAAACCACTTAAAAAAGAAACACATCAACAATAGTACCTCAGAGGTGATGTGGAAAGCTATTGTCCATATCGTAATTACAGTATTATAATAATTGCTTACTATATTATTGCAGAATATACACATAATATGTTAATAATAAAAATTTTAATTATTAAAATAATCATGTAGGAAAGAAAATATTTTAATGATATTTGCCGGAAGATATGCTCTCACAGCATATTTTTGTATCTCGATGCTCCTGTGGCACAGCGTCACGTGAGCAAACGGTCGCTTCAGGAATCGGCCCGAAATGGGCAACTAATTCTGAGCACTGATCTAAAAGAAAAAAAAAAATTAAATTAGTAGAATATTAATTGATATCGATTGATGAATTTGCAGGTAGTATCATGCTTCGATGGCACCCTGGTCCAGGCAAATCTGGCAAACGTACGCGAGCTGAAGAGAGCCATTTCGAATCTCAATACAGAGAGGATCGCCAACTTCTCCCTGGCCTTGACGACTGCTTTTGAGTTACTCGAAACATTCCGCAACGAGCGGGAAGGTGCAAGATGCAATCAGGCAATCATGCTAATCACCGATGGTGTACCGTACAATTACAAGGATATTTTTGAGGCATATAATTGGAAGGATAATCTAAACGAGCCATTGAAGGCTGATATGCCCGTTAGAGTATTTACTTATCTAATCGGTCGAGAGGTTGCAGATGTGCGGGAAGTGCAATGGATGGCTTGCGCCAATAGAGGGTACTATGTACATTTGTGTACGCCGGCGGAAGTCAGAGAAGAGGTCAGTGGATTGAAATTGCTTTCAAGTTTGACAAATTAAAAAAGAAAATCTTAATTTCTAAAAAATTAATATTTGATAAAAACAATTGAAAAAAAATTACTGTTAAAAAATTACTGAAATAGAAAGTCGTAATGCTAAATTTACAAGTTATAGAAATTTTAGCATGGAAGATTATTATGGACGAAAAGTCTTTTTAAGGTACTCGAATGAATAAAACTATTTTATTGTAATATAAAAATCTATCTTGTTTCATCATAATGACTTGTATTAGATTATTTATTAAGTTTTTTCGAATTTGCTAGGTGTTGAAGTATGTACCGGTGATGGCGAGGCCCTTAGTGCTAGGTCGCACGGACCATCCTACTATCTGGACACCCGTCTATGCCGACGTGACTGATCCAAAAATGACCGATTGGTTGTGGGAGCAGCGCGAAAATAACGAACAGAAGAAGCGCTTCTTGCTGTACCAAAGAAATAAGAAGTTTCTCAACTCAGAGGAACAGGATCGACGATATGTGAGCAATCAGAAATGGCGGTATGATCAGATCGATCAGACCGATGAACTGCAGGAATACAAGCTAATGACCTCGGTCAGCATGCCGGTGTTCGATCGACGTGATAACGCGGTAAGATTTGTATTCGTCCGTTATTTTACAAAGTAAAATCGGCTGGCATAAGGACGACAGTCGTGCGTTCTGTACGTTGTCGATAAAGGATAGCCTAAAAGTTAATTAAGATTCCCTTATGTTGAAATAAAATGATAGTTTTCTTCAGCATTCATATCAAATATCATTCACTTTTTTCTTTCTGTTGTCTGCGCTTTCATATGCCTTCACGTTCTTCGCAACATTTTTGTAAATTCTCTCAATATCTCAAATGGTATAAATGTGATTTCTTCATTAATACCCAAAAATGTTATAAACGAGACAAAAAAAGTCGCAAAATTCGCGAATCACGTTTCCTTGAGGTATATATTCACGCTGCACTTGCTTTGGTTTTAAGTTCCTCTTTGTCCACAGAACATCACAAGGCAGGTGCTGGTGAATGAAGCATACTGGGTGACAGAAACAAGAGAGGTTGGCAGCTAAACAAAAAAGTCAAGCAACATTATTCTATGATGCATATAGTACATCCTGTATCTTTATCTTTCGTTTTTGTGCAGTCGACGACCTACGACCTCATCTTCGCTATCAGCCTTAATTGTCGTTTCATGGACCTTAATTTATTACTCATTAGATTCGTTAAACTTTGAAGACTATTTACTTTGAAAAAATATTACTTAAACAACATTGTAATTATTTTAATTTTTTTGTCTTTATTAAGGAAAGAAACATTTTAATCTATTAAAATTTTTAAACTATTAAATGTATAAAATATAATATATAATCGCGATGTATATATAAATGATGCTGGAACAAGGTCGTAGATGCGCATAGATCTCTTTTAGGTCCACATTCGACTCTCTGGTATCTTATGTTGATCTCTAACGTTAGTTACTGGAATTATTTCAAGTCATTAGGTAGGTTTAGGTACGTTAGTCTACCCTGTGTCCTGTCGAGACGAGTAGAAAAAAAGGCAAAGTCCTGCCCGCCTGTTGGATGCGTTTCGGCGAAAAATAATATCCTCGTAAAGATTGATTCGTAGAGATCGTTTTGCAGTGACTACTATATATCTACATAATGAAAGAGAGAAATATTAACTGAAGGAGCAAGCGAATGAATTTTCAAAAATAACTCTCGTTAATAAAATTAAAATTGATTGTATTTTTAACAATTTTTTATAGAGAATTTTGAAATTAGATTTATGAAAACGAAAATAATAATTCACTTTATATAATGATAATAACTACTTTTTCCAAGCACCTTGCTCCTTTTATTACAAGTAACAGCAGACACGCACGTACATGAATAACATGAATTTTGGCAATTTATTGAGTGCTAGATTTTGTTAGTCAAAAACATTCGTAGATCTAATTCAAGCGACGACCTCTCAAGATTATCTTAATTAATCTCGCACATACACGCATGTACATACCTTGGGTCTAAACTGAACAAAAAAAATTTGATTGCATATGTTGCTTTAATCTGTATTATTTTTATAACATCAAATAAAATATAGAAGTAAAATATTCTCTATTAAATTGCTTTCTATTAAATGAGAAAAAGAAAGAGAAAAAGAAAGGTCGCCACTTTGAAAGAACAAAGCTAATTGTTATTTAAACTAACACTTAGGGTAGCCTGCGTGAGATGTTGTTAATTAATTATAGAGAGAATTTGTTGTTTAATTCTTATAGAGTTTTCATTGTGTATCGTTATTATTATTATTATTATCATCATCATCATCATCATCATCATCATCATCATCATCATTACACACACACACACACACACACACACACACACAC